GGAATGCGCATTGTATTATCCGCTGTGACTCTTTCTTCGCCGATATTGACTGTGAATGCAACACAAGCTACAATAAGCACGGTACTTGTTCCAGTTCCATTATTTGATTTTTAGGCAATATTACATGGAATAGTTTGACAGTATAAATTCAACTTCGCCGCTGTAAATTTTCTTTGTAAGCTTTTCTGCTGATTCTTGACTGTTATGCGCCAAAGTGAACAAAGTTGCTGACGGCAAAAAGTGCCCTCAGTATTTTATATATCGCGTTTTTATCTAAATTTCTAAAAGATAATGTACTTTCAAAAATCGAACACAGGACGGAGAGGGAGAATTTTTTTGAAATGATAAAAGAATGTTGGAACCAAAGACAGATGCTTGCAAAAATGGTCTCATTTAGCTAAGTAGATTGAAAGGACCAGGCATAGCACAGACTGCAAATGAACAGATTTTACTAACCATGTCACAGTTTGCATTAAAGCTCAAAAAAGTGCAAAAGCAGCAAGTCTTTGGCGACGCACCATGTGGATCCATGCGGTCATACCTTTTGCATTATCTCATGCTGTAGTAAGATCGCTTGGAATCCCAGTAGCTAGAATTTGTGGCATACTGGTCCTCGAACTTTAATTGCGCATCTGCGTGATACTTGGGCGGTGGGATTCCGTTAAAATTTCAGCTTTCCAGCTTTGCTTGTCTCTAAGACGGCAGTTTTCCAGTCAAAACTTTTATATGCTTGCACGCGGGGCTCAGAAGTGTGTGAAGTTTGACGTCGTGGTCCTGGGACGGCACTTGGCCACCCCAGGACCGCGAAGTCAACCTTGGGTGGTCGCAACTTCAAACGGCTATTCCGTATTGATGTACATGGACGAATATGCAGAATTACGGAAGCTCATGATAACATCCGTTATATGCGTTTTTGCCTATATGCAAATTGCAAAAACGCATATTGGGACGACCCTGTCTGTGTGTGTTAAGAAAAAGTGTGGTTACTGAACCTGGGTACCGCGTATGTCAGTTGATCGAAGTTACCCCTGGAAG